GTGGCCTTGGCAAGTGAGGGCATTGAAAATACAGCTGCCACTGGTCTTGCAAATCTGCCCTGGGAGGAGCCCCCATGGTTCAGATCTGGTCTGGGGCCAGCTTGATACCCCCAGTATAATCTATAAGTGGATATAGGTCTTAGTTGTGGTCTTCCCTTGTTACATGAATGATTTGTAATTTTTACTCTTGTTTTTAAATGCAGTTTCATCATTTTTATTATTCCATTTCTATGAAGTATTAGTTTTCATATTTGAATTTAATGGAGCTGAAGTATTTTCTTAAAAGTAATCTACTGTTGTGTATCCTGTATAGGTTTTAAGCTGATTTCATTCACCTGAGTCATTCAGCTTTAAGTGTTACTCAAATGATTGACGTAAGTAGAACAGATAGTTTAAGTGCTGTTCTTCAGAGGTTTATTGACATCATTACTGCTACTTACTGTGAGGTTTTAGCCATCTGCCGACTGAGCCTCATACAATTTGCAGAAAGGTGTTTTACAACTCTGCATTTGAGTAATCATCTAATTTTCTGTCTAACAGGCTTAGAAGACTGTTACTGCTTAAAAATCAGAGGAAAAGAAGTTGAGCAAGTGGACAGAGGAAAAAGACATTTTTGATTGTATGATGTAAGTTCCTCAGCTCTTTGCATGAACCTCATGCTAGCTGACAAAGCTGTTGCTATGGAGGCAAACAGTCCAGCTCCAGAGAATGTCAATGGAATGCTAATCTGATCTAAATGAGGAGTTCCAGCTGCTGACCAAAGGGAGTCGTAAAAGAGGGAGTAACAAGGGGAAATAAACAACTCGCAGTATTCCAGACAAGTGTGTCTGATCTGTTCTGATATCATTTCAAATTCTTGCCAGACTTGTTACTGATCTTCTTGTTGCAGTTGATAATAATTATAAGTCTTCCATTGCTGCTGTCATTTCAGGAAACTGAAAATGTCTCATGTCATGTCTCTTCTTTCTCAAGTTGGGGAACCAAGTTAAAACTATTGCAGGCTGTTTTATCAGCCTTTGATAGTGCCCTGTGTTTAATGGCTTTTAAAACAAGTGGCATGTGATTTCAAATGGAAAATTACTTAATTTTAACCACTGGATACACTTCATAAAGCAACTTGTGCTTCTAGTTCTACAATAAAACACTTCAGGATGCACTGTTACCTGTGAGCAAAATGGAGCCTTTGATGGAGCAGTAAATGTTTCTTGTGTACTTCTTTATTTGCAGAAGCATGTGGTCCAGGGAAGCAGATCACGCCACAAATAGCTCTTTGTGCTTCTTAGTATCACGACCATTACTTGATAGGACCTTTAATTATAATGAGCCACGCTTCCATACTAAATGTTACCTTATGTTGCATTCAGCTAATAAGCTGTGGTCCTGTAGGGTCTTTTAATGTAGCCAGTGAAGATTTAGCTATATTTAGCAGTTGCATTTTTAGCTACTGGTATTGTACCTACTGATAAGATTTGAGTTCTATCACTGTTCTTAAGCCTGAAAGTTGCTGAATAGTGTTCTAAGGTAAGTTCTAAATTTTCAAGCACTCTGGTTTCTCTTCTGCTCTATGATCCTTGAAACACATGCTAATGTACATCTCTTGCAGCACTATACTTGCACACCAAGCAATGCTCACATATCAAAGATCAGAGTCTAGCCCTAGTTTTTATAAAGATATAATGTTTCAGATTTCATGGAAGTCCTGAAATTTGTCACATGACCAGTTACCATTTTTGAATCTCTCACATACAAAGCAGCACAACATTCCTTTTCTTAGGAGATAACAGTTTTCAGTTCTCATACTCCAGATCCATTCTCAGTTAAATTTACGAGATCTGTGATAAGTTAACACTTCTTGGCATGTCTGAAAAGACTTTGAAATCTCCATGTTTAAACTGATGGTGCCTAGCATATTTTGTAATGAATAGTGGTTTGAAGCAGTTAATCACCTGGGAAAGGGAAGAAACTGTTTCTGTTACAAATATTCTTCTAATTATAAAGCAAATTAGGTAGAATATCTGAGTAGATTCTAATTTGATTTGTAATTCTTCTGTCTTAAACTTACTTTTTTCTTTCTGTTTTGCATTCTCTTATTCCTTGTTAGGAAGCTTTTGAAATCAAGGGAAAAATACATTGTGTAAAGCTGCATGTTGTAAGCTCTGATAGCTAGAAATGTCGGGACTGCTGTACTATATCTAATATTTAGTTTGTTTGCTCCCATATCCTGCCTGTTAGTGACCTGTACAAGATGCCTTGGAGAAAAGTGCAAGAAACACCACGTAGAAACTTATTTTATAATTGGTACCATGATGGACACTTCTTCTTTCTCCTTATTTATTAGGCGTTAGTTTTGCACCCTTTGAAGGATGAGGATTTGTATACATTTTGCCCTCTTATGTTTAGGTAATGTCCAAACTTCTTAATACTCACGATTCATCTAAATCAGAGGTGGGAAATTATTTTGGGCGGACGGCTGCTTACTGAGTTTTGGCAAGCCATCCAGGGCCGAATGACAGGCAGCCCAGAGCAGATTAAATTACTTCTCTAAATTTTTTAGGGGCTCCGCAGGCCAGATAGAATGGCTTGGTGGGTCGCATCCATCCTGCGGGCCACATTTTGCCCACCCTGATCTAAATGTTGTCAATAAAACATTGCTCAAGATGTTATGTATCCTAAGTGAAAATTGTTTCGGTGCTTTTTACCTCTGTGATTTATAAGGTTTTATTTCTATATTGTTTGGATACTGTATTTTTTCACAACATGCAATGCACCTTCTCCCCTGCAAATCAGCTCCTCAGTTGGGTTATCTGTTTTAAGCAGGGAAGTGTTTTCTTCTCTGGAAAAGCAGCACATGTGGAGACACTGTGTATGCCATGCAGCTGCCAAGATGGCAGAGTCCTATGTAACCTTCCCATACCCATAACTATTGGTAGAGCACTGTAGCTTGTGCCTGATGCAGAAAGTGAGCTGCAGGTAATATCTTGGTGTGGCTTGTGGTGTGGAAGCAACACTTTATTCGCAGGAACTTTTTTTATAAAGAGCTATTTACAGTAAAGAACTAACAGTCATGCTGCTGCTTTTGCAAGAGTCAGGGGCCAATCCAGGACTGTCCTAGGACTGGGCCCAACAATCAGCTGATGTTGACCTACCCTTGTGACAGCCTGGGGTCCTAAGCACCACTCAGGGCTGTTTGGGACTAAGGGTGACAATCAGCTGGTTGTCAGCCCAGGTCCCAACAGCCTCAAGTCTCAAACAGCAGTCTGGGCTGTAAAGGCTGGGACTGACAACCAATGGGGTGTCAGCCCTACAAGCTAGGGTACAGGCACACAGTTTTCAACTTGTTAGTAAAGGGGAGCCTGGATCATGATCCTGGGTTTGCCCTGCACTGCAAATAGAAAAAGTGTGATTGGGATCAAGGATCAGATCCCATTTCTCCATTAAATGATGTGTGCCAAGAGCCTACCATACACATGACTTCAGAATGTGGAAGCCAGATGGGGATTCTGAGGCTCCTGGTAGACATTAGCTATGATGCAATTAATATATTAACCACACCATAAATAGTAACTCTGCCACATATTCAGGCAATTAATGGTGCAATAACATGAGAAACCAGCCACGAAAATTGTCCATGTGTTCCATTATATGTGAAACATTTTTGTAGTTGGTTTCTATCTTGCTTTAAATTTGAATGTGTGGTGGGGTGAAGTCCTGCCATGCCATCCAATGCTGTCTATATGGCTAGGCTTTAAGATTACCAGCTAGCATGGTACCCCAATCCCCAGCTGTCTGCTCCCCAGGTCTGTGGCACTGGCAGGTGGCCATGGGAGAGTGTTGGGTGCCAGAGGGTGGAGAGCTCACCAGCTGATACCACATTTTTCAGAGTGCAGGGAGCAGATCAGCATGCTGACAGCCACACAGTGCAACCCCATGCAGGCACTCTGAAAACCCAGTGTGTTGGCACTCTGAAAACTGCATGGTGAAGCTCCACATGGCATGGATCAGTCCCTGATGCCATTCTTTCCATGGCCCCTTTGTACATCTGGGCAGGCTGGGAGCCCATCATCAGGGACTGAGTCCCCAGTGTTGAACTCCCCACCTGTTTCTCATGTGACTGGCATCTGACAAATCATGTTCTGCATCCCAAAAATTCCATGACCTGCCATGTATGTGTAGCATGGTGGGATGTGCAGTTTTTCGAATCCATGATAACATTCATCATATCCCAATTGTGCAATTAAATTAAGTTTTGTCAGGAGCCTGAGTTTCAGTATTTCTATGCTGTCTGCCAACAAGATTCCTAACTATTTGCAGAAGGGAGGTCCTCTTTAAGAAACCCTACATGGAAGACAGCAGCTTACAATTGCTACCAGCTATTCCATTAACTTGCCTGATTGAGTTATGTGCTTTGAATCAAAGTTTCAGCTCTGCTGACCCAGATGAGAGTTCATTGTGTTGTTTTTCTTTTTTTCAGTTTAATCAATAAGAAAGTCACAATCAAAGAATTAATAGACCTGCCATTCATTTTCCAAATGGGGCTGGATCCATCAGCAAATATAGATGTCCACTCTTTAACCCAGGAATATTCTCCTCTTGGCAGGGTTAAGTGACAGAACCTTGACATTTCTAAGCAAGTGTCTCAAATCTTTCTGGTTGTGTGAGAATAGTTTTCCAGATGGATTAATTGTATGACTAAAAAGATTTATTGTGCTGTTTTTAGCTTTTGTGGCCTCCTTTTAAATGCCACATACAAGAATCACTCACATTTTTTTTTCCTTTTAACTAATTGGTTTTCAGAAAAATAGCATTTGTTTATGGACTGTTTGGGTTTATCTAAGATTTAGGAACAAATTAACAATACTGTTAATGCAGTATTGTTTGTCCTGGTCATTTTTGTTTATCGTGGGGAGGGAGGGAGAGGGGTTTCTGTATTAAACCCCTTATTAATTTTTTCCTTTTTGAGTTTTTATACTGATCTTGAGCAGCTCTTACCTAGTTTGTAATGAGCTAGTATTCAGGTTTTTCTTTGTTATACTGTAGTAAATCTAAATTCTGCTTGGTCAGCAGTTTTCTGATCTCATTAGCTACCAATATCTTGCTTTGGATTTTCAAAGATAGATTCCCATGCCTTCACTATTTTGTTGCCTTGTCTAAGAAAAGACTTGTCACCTCTCTAGCCCAAGTCTTGCAATTATTGCATTTAGAACAATGTCTGAAGTCCATTCAAATTTGTTCCATGGAGGTTATTGTTAAAGCAAGAGAATTCTATTGCAGGGCATAGCTTTCAGTTTCTTACTCATATGACCTAGGTCCCTGACAGACATTAAAGTAAAGGTGTGATTCATTGATTAATCAATTAATCACATCTTAAATACAACATCTGTCAGGGGCCCAAGATTCCTTACAGTTTGATCTTGTGCTATTTGAAATAGAACATTTGCTACAACAAAGATCCTGGGTGTTTTGTCCCTTGCGACATACATTTCAAGTAACAATACTGGTGTTCCGTTCTGGGAATGGACTATACTCTGGCCTTTCAGACCTGCAAAGCCCACCTCCTCAATGGAGATTTGTTGCTTTTGGCACATCTCTAACTCAGTCAAATATGTAAGTTTTCTTATCAGAGCATCTTTGAGGCTGTTTTTTTTGTTTTAAACCCATCCAAAACTTTTATGGAAATGCCTCGTCCATCTTTTTAAAGTCTTTTTGGCTAGTTATCAAACACTGGCTGATTTTTAACTCTTTTGCTCTTCGTAGTGTGAATTATTGTTTTTATTGAATTGGATATCTCAATCTACTTGGTGTATATGTGTAGGATTGCTGTGGTAGAATGTTTAAAGAAAGTTAAATAGCTTACTCAGGGCTGTCCAATGTCTGGGCATCTGGGGGCTGAACAACTGCAGGGGCCACTCCTTCCCTGCACTAAGTTCTTTCTCATGTAGGGTTTCTTAAAGAGGACCTCCCTTGTGCACATAGCCCAGCTCCCCTCTCCTGCCACATGTGCAGCACCTGCAACTCCCTCACTGTCTACACATCTCATGCAAGAAGCCCACCTGCAGCATGCTTCAGACACAATCTAGCTTTCTCCTTAGCCTCCCCTGCTGTGTGCATAGTACCTGCCCTGCACCCAGGAGCACAGGCAGAAACCAGAACCTGGACGAGGGTGGGGGAGTCTGGAGATCCCAGCCATCTTCTTCAAAGCAATGGGAAGAGTGGCAGCCAGGTAGGAGTCCAGAGGTTGCTGGTTCAACAGCCCTGATTTAAATATTCTCCTACCCACCCACTTCTGATTTTAGGGTCTGCTGTTTTGCAGGGGTGGTGGTTTGTCATTAAAGTGAACATCAACCATTTTTTCGAAAATGAAGCTGAAATTTTGAGAGTACCTGAATGGTACAAACTATTAACTGAGGGGGATGAATGTTTCACCTCTGAAGATATATGGGAAAATGGAGATAGAAGGAGATGACATTTAGCTTTCCAGATGCTTAATGCTTTGGCTATTTTGCCCAGTTTGCACTGGATTCTTAAACTAGAGTGAAAATCCTTTGTTATATCTTCTAAGAAATAGAATTTCCAAGTAACCTAGTTTATGTTACCTTGGCAGTAGCCTTGTTTGTGTTTTGCAGTGTTCCTTTTATTCTGGGACAATTCTTGAACTGCTTCCTTTTGAGGAGCATATAGGATGCCTTTAGAGAAGGGAAAGTTACTTTGTAATTCTATCTATAAAGATAATTTTGAAGGATTTTTGCCTTTTCTTCCTTGAATTTGGAAGAAGACCTCTGTGAAGTTTTTAACTTATTATCCAGGCCTTTCTGAAGCATTAAATTCTCATTTTTTTTGGTGGTCAATTTTTACTGTTTAGGGAGCCTTCCTGCCCAGAAAGTTCAAGAATGTTAATTAAGTTTGCAGTACATAATGGTGAAGGGTGATTTTTTTGTTCTTTCATGCAATTTGACTTGACATAACATTCTCCTCTTTGCTTACTAAAAGGTAACTGTGAAATTTCAAAAACAAATACTGAAACTCTGCTACTATATGTGTTTAAATAGTACCTACAGGCCTTTCTACACGCCACAAAATTGGCCTTTAAAGCAGCTTAAATGCCTTATTGCACCGCTTTAATGGCATTGCTGTTTGCACATTCCGCAGCATATTCCACTTTAGTGACGTTGCTCTTTGTACTCTTGGTGGCGTATTAAATGACTTTGGTACGTAGCAAGATAAAACACCTCCGAGGTGTTTTAGTTTGTTACCTAACAAAGTGCAATAGCGCACGGGGCTCTGGAAGCCGACGTGCTTGGGGCTTGGCAGGCACCGCACAGCTCGCGGGCTGTGGGACCCAGCGGCAGCCCATGCAGGCAGGCTTCACTGAAGAAAAAGAAAAAAAGCGGCAAACCTAATCTTTTTCTTTTCCCCCCCTCCCTGGAGCCTGTCTGTCTGCCTGAGCTGTGCGGGGGCCTGGTGCTTTCCTCCATGGCTGCGGTGCCCCCTGGGATAGTCTGGTGCCAGCAGGCAGTTGCTGCCTGGGGGACCCCCGCACACCTCAGGGACTGCTCAGCCCATCAGCAGCTCATGCCTCCCCTTCTCCCCACTCCATCCCCGCCACCAGAGGCAGGTAAGGATCAGGCCCCAACCCTTGTGTATATGCCACAGGGGTTTACTTTGGTTTAATTCTTGCTAAATTGAAGCAGTGCTTTTAAAAACCCACCATTTCAATTTAGGGAGAACTAAACCGAATTAAACCCCTGTGGCATGTACAGTCAGCTTGCTTGAATGGTTTCAGTAACTCTAGCAACAGTGGTTAGGTAGAGGAGATGGAGTAATTTTTCTAGGCAGGTTGTACATACCCTTTGCTTTGCTTTATAAAATGAAAAACATCATTTCACTCTTTGAATTGCAAGCTGACAGAAACTTGTGTAGGAGTTACTAGAGCTTCTTCATTACCTTCCCATTTATATTTAGTTTTCAGTATTATTTAAAACTACAGCAGCCTCCTCCAGATGAAAACATTCCTTAAAAATAAAGGGAAAAAACACACTAACAGGAGTTTCAATCTGAGGCCAGACTATGTTTAAAAAAAAAACAAACCTACAAGAAATGTCATGACTTAGTTTTTAATTACAACAGTAATAGGAATTGCCAAGTTTTAAACTGGAATTGAAGGGATAAAAGGACTTAAAATGTAACTATGGTCACCTCAACCAATCTTTTCTGTACAGTTTTCTTAGGTGCTGTTCTGAGACAAAAGAACAAACTCCCCCAGAATAAAAAGATCATTGCAACCTTGTCACCTTCTGTTCAAGGATGCTCTTCAGCTTGCCTTATGTAATAATAATCAGGCAACAGTATATGTATGAAAACCTAACAGAGGTGTCAAAGACATGGCCTGCAAGCCAAGTCTAGCCCTAGATGTTACCCCTGGGTCTGGAGTTGACCCACATGCTGTGCACCGGACTGGCTCCATGTACCTGTGGCCCTGCATGCAAGGCCCAGGACCCCTGCTGCATTTGACACCTTCTCCAGCTAGTCTGGGATATGCATTACATGTGGCACCCATCCCGGGTCATCCAAGACATTCCTGGCATGTGGCCCCTGCCCAGCTGGCATGGGATGTACACTGCACATGGTGCCCATTTCAGCCAGCCTGAGATGAGTGCTGCGTGCATTGCTGCTCGTAGACAGACTGGCCAGAATGGGTATCATATGCAGCATGGTCCTGGAATGGCTGGAGCAAGCTCTGTTGGGGAGTGGGGATGGGGGTCCATGGGCTCTGTCTGGACCATGGGGCCAGCCACATGCCATTAAGCCAACCTGTGGACTGGCCCTGCACCACTCATCTGGTGTGACAAATCTGCCCTATAAAAATAACTTCTCTTTTTTTTAACCTGCACATTTCTCCCCTTTGCAAAGGCTGAGAGAACAAACAGCAATTGACAGATGTTTGTAACATTGCTTACTTGGTGCAGCACTGGAAAAGATTCAGATAACATAGTGGTGAAGGTACTATAAGAATTTGTATCTGATTGGTAAAGAATTTTACCTAAGGTATGAAATTGAGGTCATAACTAGTTCTGTATCTCAAGATGCTTTTCATATACATAATTATTTAGTAGTTTACACATTCCAAATCTAGTTACTGACTTTCTTCATACTTTAATTCCTGCATTTCAAATGTATAAATACCTTTAATTACAGCAGTTTTGAATAAGTATCCTATTAAATAGTAGCTGTCCTACCCCAGAGATGTTTGCTACTAGTGAAAAGGTGCTTGTGTGGATAGGCCCTGGTTCTGCAAGTAGTCTCTCTTAAAATCCAGGTGATTTACATTTCTGTATAAAGTTATTCACACATTCAAGTATTTGTAAAACTTGAGGCATAGTTTTATTGAAGTCTTTTAGAATGGAAGGATAAATTTAATTAAAAATCTGAATAGAAACTTTCAGAAAAATGCCGGTTTTCAGCCTTGTACATTTAAGTAAAAAATCACCATTGCTTGATCTGAAAAATATTAAATGCTACGTTTTTTAACAGTTATAAATTTAATTTTTTGAACACTGATGTATGAGGGTTACTAAAATGTGTTAATTAGATTCTTGAGGCTGCTGTAGTAAACTGTTCTTAAATAGGGAATATGTGCATGATAGATGTAGAGAGATGTCTAGTTCCTGGCATTATGAAACTAACTGGCTTTCTTACTAATTTAGTTAGTTGGTAACTTTTTGTAATCTTCTTCCCATTAGATTTCCTTGCTGGATAGTTCTTCAACTTTGTCTAATGGAAGGGAAATATTTTTTGACGTTATAATGGATTTTAAGTGGCAGCATAAAGCAAACTGGCCCTGTCACAGAATTTGTGTGTGAGAATTAATACAGTTTATTACATATAATATGACAACTTCTCACATGAATGGACACGTAACAGAGGATTCTGATGGTGAAGCAAAAAATGTGGATCTTACATCTTCTGAGGAGTCACAGAAGCACAGAGAGATGGCTGTTGATTGTCCTGGGGATTTGGGCTCCAGGATGATGCCAATACGACGAAGCACACAGCTAGAGCGGATTCGCCAGCAGCAGGAGGATATGAGGCGCAGACGGGAAGAAGAAGGAAAGAAACAAGAACTGGACCTTACTGCTTCAATGAGGCTTAAGAAACTAGCGCAAATTCCTCCCAAAACTGGAATAGATAATCCTATGTTTGACACGGAAGAAGGAGTCATTCTGGAAAGTCCTCATTATACTGTGAAAATACTAGGTAGGTAAAAAGTACAAGTTAATGGGGAAAATACTCCTTTATTTAAAAATACTGTTAGACTACTGACAATATTAAACTAATCTTATGGGAAGAGCAGCACTAAAAGACAAACTTTTCATCATATCTTAGTGGAAATAAGCATTTAAATTCAAACTGCAATCTCAAGCAAAAGTTGAAGAAAGTAAAAATACAGTGACATTTTAAATAATTTTTTCCATCTGCGGTAGAAATTTAAGATTTGTTTCTTGTTCCCAGCTTTTAAGAGACCTTTGGCAAATACGTTTTTTTTTCCATGCTTGACTACCTCTAATTCTTCAAACATACATTTGGAGTTGTTTGATTTTAGCATACAAAGGTGTAAAGTTTGTCTTGTACCTTGAACTGTTCTTCTTCCAGTTGGTCAAATCTTCCTGCAGAGTGTATCTAGGAAATGCCCACATAATAACTGCTTCGTTATTTGGGCAGTTGAACTCATTCGGTATCAATGGGTTGCTGTTGCTGGCTTGATCCTTTCTGTGCTTTTGAGCCTGAGCATTCAAAACAGTGAGCACGTGGTATATCAAACATCAACCAATTTTTGTTTCAATAGAAGTCAAACATTAAACACTTTGGATATAGCTCAGATTTTGCAGGCAAGAGTTGCAACTTTTGTTCCTAGTTGACTAGTCCTGTAGTTTACTGTCACATTGTCAAGGCTAACTTTCTTCCAGGTTTTCTTCACACTTTTGCATTGGAAATAAAATCCTGCCTTAATAAGTTTATTTCTTGTTAAATGAAAACTGTTTCTAAATTACCAGGCGCTTTTTTTCAGTTTGAAATATTTGGGAAGCTTTATAATATATAGCCCATCACATCATATCTCACTCCAAAATTTATCTGTTACACTTACACATTTTGAGCTGTTCAGATTTTCTTGCTGAAGTGTACATCTGTAGGATAGAGGTGCACCAATACATCAGTCCGATATTGGATTGGCACTGATATAAAGAAAATTGACTATATCAGAAATCAGTCTGATGTGGCCAATAATTTGGCCGATAAATGTTCGTACGTGCACATGGCCACAACGCAGCACACAGGCAGTGAGGAGCATAGCTTGGAAGCTTGGAGAGCTGCGTGCAGCTGGTAAGTCTGTTGGGGTGGACGGAGATGGGGAAAGGAAGGGGCAGGGTGGGGGGGGGGCAGATCAAGGACCCTGCGGTGAGGAAGGGAGTGAGGCTGGGGCTGGGATAGGCAATGCCCAGGTTGGGTAGGGTGCAGGACAGAGCTGCGACTCGTCTGGGAAGTGCGGGGGAGGGGGGGCAACTCCCACTGCTGCATGCACTCTGGGAGGGCACAGGGTGGTCGCAGGTGTGCCCCTGGATTTGCGTGGTGTGGGGCAGGGTGGGCTGTATCTGCAGGCTGGGACCGGGGCTGTGCTGCACTTGGAACAGGCAGCAGTGCTGGGAGAGAGGGTATAGGGGGCTACAGCAAAATTTGGGGTGTCTGCAACCCCCCTGTAGCACCCCTCCCAGTGCTGCTACCACCCCCCCCAAGTGCAACATGGTGCCCCCCCTGCCCCTTCTGGGAAGAGCCCGATGTGGCCCCCGGGCTCAGCCCACAGCTGCATCCCACCCCACGCAGATCCAGGAGCAGCCCACCCCTGTGCCCTCCCAGGGAGCACACAGTGGTGGGAGCCTCCCTGCCCCTGTGCCCCCTGGATAAGCCAAAGCTGTGTCCCACCCTGCCCCATCTGGGCAGCGCCTACCCCAGCCCCACTCCCTCCCTCACCGCAGGGTGGCATTGATCTGCCCCCACTACCCTTCTCTTCCCCCTCCCCTTCCACCACAACAGCTGTGTTGGAAATCCGATTGGCATAAGCCAATATGCCTCCTTAAAAATCAGCTATCGGTATCAGTCCCCAAAATCTCTATCGGTGCACCCCTACTGTAGGATGGTATCTCTGATGTAATGTACTAAGAAATTAGAAGCTTTTTTTTGCTTGCAGTGCAATGGCGATTAGAGCATCTGCCACTCCAGTAGCCAGGCTTTAAGAGGAACAGATCTGCAGGGCTAGAACAAGGGTTCCTCAATCTCTGGACTGTGGAACTATGACATTGACCCCTGGGGCTACCAGCAGGTAGGGGAATTTGGCAGTGGGGGAGCAGTGACAATTAATACTGCCACCCCTCCCCCACTACAAAATTTCTAAGCCAGGCCACATGCCTTCTACCCCTGCCAGCCCCCCATGTGGCTGGATTGGGACTGGGCTGTGCCCTACCCTTCTGTGCCCCCCCAGGCAGCTAGACTGGGGTGTCCCCTCCCCATATGCAGCAGGATTGAGGCTGGACTGCCTCCTTCCCCCTTTTGTGTGGCTGAATGGGGCCCTGCCGTGCCTGACCTGAGCACTGTATCAGGACCACTATCTGGATTAGGCCCTCAGAGAGATCAAGGAGTGCCCATCTGGCCCACTTGGCAAAAAGGTTGAACACCACTGGACTAGATTAATGACCTCCCACAGGGTTTTACCCACTTCTAGCTCTCTCTCATCTTTTAAGGGTGAGCTCACTTAAATTTCACACACATCCCAGACTTTAACTAGAAGGATACAGCAAAGGTTTATTTTACAGTTTATAAAGTAAGATCATGTCCTTATTCATATTCCTTTCAGATGACAAATTGCTCTATTTCAAACACTCTCTACATAAGCAGCCCCTGTATTTCAGATGCTGCCTATTTCACTATATCCACTTTTAAGCAGAGTGCAGTAACTTTAATTTTGACTTCAATTAAAATAGTGCCAGATGAGGAAGGATTATTTTCCTGTCTAGTTTGTAAAGCATGTAATTCAATGAGACTTCAGTCTGTACTGGGACCTTTGGGCACTTTATTAATATTTAATTACAGGTGAAGCTAGGGACACTGCCCATTATGAATCTTATCCAACACTCTTGTGTTGTGAAAACAGAGATTTATAACTTTGCAAGACTTTAATTGCTTGGGCTTAAATTTTCCATGCTGGTTGATTGCTTCAACCGTTTGTCTTCTTTTTTTAAAATTTTTATTTCAACCCAGATGGCTCAACTGTTAGAAAGAGATGAGCAAAAATATCTGGCTTATGTGCAAATTCAGAATGCTCTCAGGCTCTTATATTTATGTACTAAGGACTTGAAATTTGGCAAGGGATGAAATTTGGGCCAAGGCTTCCCCATATCTAAACATCACCCAAACATGGCCAAATGTATTAGTCTTTGAAAAACAGTAGTTCACACCTGCTTAGTAGAGACTTGCTAGAATTTAACAGCTAAAGTCTGTAAAGATCTCATCCTTAATGAGCATGCTTCATCCCCTTAAGCAGGCCAAGTTCTTTGGGTAGATGTGATATCTTTTATTATCCCCTTAAGGTTATTTTTAAATTTTATTAACATTATTATTAAAATATCACAATTAATAATATATTAATAGCATATTAATTACATATTTCATAGTTTCTAAGGTCGGAAGGGACCTGAGTAGATCATATAGTCCGACCCCCTGCCATGGCAGGAAAGAGTACTGGGGTCAAACAACCCCAGCAAGGTATTCATCTAACCTCCTCTTAAAGACCCCCCAGGGTAGGGGCCAGCACCACTTCTCTTGGTTACAATATTATTACAATATTATTAAAAGATATTATATTATAAAAGATAAGATATTATTTAAAAAGATTATTATCTTTTATCATCCCCTTAAGGAACCTACACTGGTACTGGAGGGGAGGAGAGAAAAACTGACTGGCAGTTGGAAGGGGACCCTGGGACTAGCTAGGCAAGTACACTGAGCTATATGGAAGAACTGGCTGAGATTGAAAGAGCAGAGATTGGGAAGGGGCTGAGGGACATGAGGTTACTTGACACTGGACGCAGAACTAGAGATGGACTGAGATTTAGCTGGACAAGGAAACAGACTAGGAAACAGTGGGAAGGAATAGGGGAAGGGGAGACCATCCTGAAAAGGAGTCAGTGTAGGGGTAAAACTCAGACTGGCTGATAAGGAAATTTGGACAAGGTATTGTGAGAAAAGAGAAATGGCAAGGTGCAGGGAGCTGAGAAACTGGGATTAGCTCTTTGGAATCTTGGGATTCCAAAGAGGAAATTGAGCAGATGAAAAATGAGACCAATTAGGCAAAGGTGACAAAAACTAGTAGGAAAAACCTGAGGCTGACATTGGGATTGAATTGGCAAGGAGAAAAGAACTGAGATACAGAGCCAAGAATAAGGAAGAGATGGGACTGGGACAGGAATGGGGTCAACAAGTTGATCTTGGAGAGAAGTGGACAGAAGTTTATACCCATTAGAACAAACCCCTCCTATGTGTTGAGTAGAACCCAAGATTCTTGCCCTTCACCGTTCTTTGCTGTCAGCAAGTACATATGAAATCCACTGGCAAAGTGTCTCTCATGCTGTTATAGTACTGGTTCACCAAAGTATTCCAATACCATACTGATGAGCCCCGTAGACTAGTGGTGCTCAACTTTTTGGGCCCATGCACCAGGTGAGTCGCATGGGGGCTGATCCACAGGCCAAACTGAGCTCTGCACACTAGAATAAGCCCCTGGGACCTGACAACACCCTATTCCTGTCCCATACACTGGGATTAGGCCCTGGGAGCCTGGTGCCACCTCCTCACAACCCTGTGCACTGGGATTGGGCCCTGGGACCCAGTGCTACCCCCTCCCACCCCTGTATGCCAGGATTGGGCCTTAGGGGCCTGGCACCACACCTGTGTGTTGGGATTGGGTCCTGGGAGCCTGGCATTGCCTTCACAGGCTGGGATTAAGCTCTGGGGCCCAGTGCTAGCCCCACCTGGCCCCACATGCTGGGATTGTACCCCCAATCTAGCACATTGGGCTTGGGACACCCCATAAGTCTGGAAATTTAGCAGCAGTGAAGTGGTGCAACTGGTCCTGTGCTACCAGATTTTCAGACCGCAGGCTGGGGGGTTGAACACTCTTGCCCTAGACAAGGCTGTGTAAATGTAAC